TTAACATACTCATGCCTCCTGTGAGAAACATAAGCATGAAAATGCAAAGTCCCAATTACATAAAAAAGGGTCTCATGGTTTCGGTTACCCACCAACCAGCGTGGCTTTGCCAGCATTCATCCTCACTGTGACCCTGTCAAGACAGTGGGAGAGCGGCTTTGCCAACACTTTTTCTCACTGTGACCCTGTCAAGACAGTGAGTGGGGGATCGCCTTCACCAAACAGTTTTGTAATATCCATTATTTTGTTTAATCTTTATTTTAGTTCTATTGCTCCTTATGCCAATTGCATCCATCAAAACAGAACATTTCCATCACCCTGAGATTCTCTTGTGTTATCTTTTATAACCACACCACTTCCCTCCTACTCTTCCTTCTCTTTAACTCCCACCAACCACTGATCTCCTTGTCATTTCTATACTTAAGCCATTTCCAGAAATACATACACATGGAGATATACTGTATGCAGGGTTTTTGGGTTGTCTTTTTCTATCCAATGTAATTCTCTGTTGATTCATCCACCCTGTTGAGTGCATCAGTAGTCCTTTTATTGTTCAAAGGTATTCTGTGGTATGAATGTAACCCAGTTGCTTCACCATTCACCCATTGAAAGACATCTCTTTTGTTCCCATCCTTTGGCTATTATGAATAAAATTGTTATAAACATTCATGCACAAGTTATATTGTTTGAACATAAGTCTTCACYTCAGTGGTATAAATATTGAGGAATGCAATAATTGGGTTTTATGTTAGTTGTACAATTTTAAAGAACCTGTCAGCCTGTTTTCCAGCATGGCTGTACCATTTCTCATTCCCATCAGCAATATCTTAGTAATGAATTTTTGTTGCATCCTTGCCAGACTTTGGTGTTTTTTCTTTTTAGTTTTTTTTTTTTTTTGTTTCATTTTATCATAGGTGTTTAGTGACAAGTCATYGTGGTTTTAATTTGCATTTCCCTAATCTTTTAGGAAACATCTTTTCATGTTTGCCATTTGTACATTTTCTTCAAATAAGTGTCTCAATATTGTATTATTAGTGATATATATGAAAAAACAAGTTCCGTCTCCTTTAAGTGATCAACTCAGATCACTAAACATGTAAATAACAGGAGGTGATGGTATGAGAGATTCTGAAAAAATATTTCACTGCAACATTTCTCTCAGTACACATGCAAATAAATGCACATGCTGTCTGTTTAAGAGACGAGGTTTGAGAAATCAGTCAAAGCAAGCTCAGTAGGATGGTTCTTAGGGGTCCCAGGAGATTTGACTGTGTTAGGCTGGTCAGCATCCCAAGACAGGAGATAAAACCAGTCCCTCCAGAAGCAGCTGGAGAGCTGGTGTACTGGAAGTGTGGTCACTTTCTTCTTTCCTCAGTGACAAACTTGGAACTGGTTTTATCTCCCTCTTGCTTTGTGCTAGTGGTGTAGAGGATCTGTGGCAAATACCTGCACTCAGAGTGCACACTCTTAGAACTGTCTGCTTTGCTCTTCGTAACTGCCAGGGAACTACCAAATGCCATGCCAAACGCAAGCTATCAGCCCTCAGGGACAGGCAGGTTAACTGGAGGTTTAGATCTATTGCCGCAGTCTGGCTGGGTACAAATCACAAGCCACTCAAGCAGGAACAAACTTTATTTTCTGAACTCCCGYGAACGCCACCCACGAGGCCTTCCTAGGCACACACACACACCAACCAGAACTCCCTCCACCAGAACTTCACCAACCAACATGAACTCCCCAGGAATCCCCACAAACTCCAAAGTAGCAGGCGCCCAAGGCAGACAGCAGGGGTCTATATACAATTGAATACACAACCTGTTTCAATCCAGCATCATCTTAATGGTTCGCCTCTCAACCATTACTTCTGGCAAAATGCCAGAGGCCATTCCCACTCGGCTGTGGCTCTCAACAATCTATCCCCATAGAGCCTGAGGGGAGGAGCTGTAGAAGTGCCCACTCACCCACTGTTGTTAATTAAGCTCTCACAGTACTAACTAATGACTGTCACATCAGTTCCAAGGTGAAGGCTAATTAAAAGCCTGATGACCTGGGCAGCAACTGGAGAAGTCAAGAAAATATGCAGTCAATCCCTTTCCAGTGCAAAACTGGGAGCTGGGTATTGCTGTCTGCTAGCTCTGCTTTGAGCTAGAGGAAATAGCCACTGGTAGTACTCCTATTTAAAATCACCTCTTTGATCTCCGTGGTCCCTGGAACTCTGGAATGGCAAATGGAGAGCCCCATCAGCTCCCAAAGCTGGGTTAATTTAAGAGTCAGTCGGTTGGATGGGAGCTATAAAAATTGGAGTGCTTGATGTGTAGACAAACTGCTCTCAGAGAGAGAATTGAGTCTTGGGGATTTGGCAGGAAGTTTTATTAATGAACTGCCCTGACTGCCTTCCCTGCCAGTTCCAAGATACAGGCTAATTAAGAGGCCTGATCCTGGCAAAGCAGCTGGGAAAGTGTGTTTGTGGTCAATACCCCCACTCCACCCCACATCCCCCAGGGGGAGAAACTGTTATTGCCTGCTTGTTCTAAGTCTGGAGTTAGGATGGGGTGGGGATGGGGGTTGGTGAGGGCTCACCTGTTTGTTTAAAGCCACTTCTTTGTCCCAGAGGACTGGTAAATACAGAGTCCCAGCCATTCCCAGAGCTAGGTGATTTAGAAGACAGTCCTTCTGGTGGAAGCTCAAAGAGTTAGGAAGCTTAAAATGTGGCCCAACTTCTGGGCAGAGGTTGGAGACTTGGTTTTATAGCTGGAGTGAGCTGGGAAGGGAGGTCTGGGGAAATGCCCACATACGCATTCTAGCTCCCCAAGACCTTACTAAATCCCTGCCCCATCCACACCCAGATGAACCTTCTCCTTTTTTGCCAGTACATATATGTCTCTGCTTCCATCTTTAAGTTTTCCAGTGGTTGCAGCTCCATGCCCAACGTGGGTCCCTCATTCTGGGATCCTGAAGCTCTTGTTCTTTTATTTGGAACACATTTTTCATGTTGCTTCATTTTTTATTGCTTTTTGTGCTTGCTTTGCACATGAAGTAAAGCAGCCCCCCCCACCCCCCGCCAGTTTACTCAGACTAAACTTGTGTGGGGGCTGAACCTCACTATACATCAGGATTGCCACCAAAACAAAAAACAACAGAAAGAGAAGGTCTAGATTCCTCCCCAGACCTTCTGAGTCAGCCCTCCTAAGACTTCCTGGTGTCCTCTTCCAATTCACAGCAAGCCCTTCTCTCTTGCCAAGTTATCACTTTTCGTCAACTAAGCAGTTTCATGGTATGTGTCTTTAGAGAATGATTTCTTGTGTAATGTACTGGTGGGAAAACTTGGGTTTCTGAATCATCTTTCTATGGCAGGAGCAAGATTTGAAGTACTCAATTAACAACCAGTAATTTGAGGTCATCAGAAAATCAGTACAGACATCAGGCTTAACCCTAAAGCAGGGTCCTGAAGCCCACTCTGTGTTTCTTGGCCTTGACCCTTTCTTGCTGGATTACAGGAATATGGCATTGAGGAGGGTACTCAGGGAACTCAAGACAATGGCTATTTTCCAMCTGAATGTCAATATTTCAACCAGTTCAGTGGAACAGGTGCTACTGGCTGAACACCAGGGATCCCCCAATCCCAACACCTAGGAAGTCATGGYGAAGGTTATGAAATAAGAAAGTTTTCTTTCAATTTTTTTTTTCTGCTAAAAAAAGAAAAGCAAGTCATCATTACACAAAGACAAACTCATTCAGAAGAAAATAAAATTTTCCATGATCCCATCAACCAGAGATAAGTACTATTAACTATTAATTAACAATAGTAATAACTATATCAATATTTTCCTTTACACTTTAAAGATAATTGAAGTAATATTATGAATTCTATTTTTATACAGATATAAATGTTTTTTAGTAACATAAGCATTGTTACCAATTCCAGTAGTGAATCCTGAAGGTCTATATCCATTCTAGATAGATATTTGTCTTATTTTGTGTTGTTTTGGTGAAGGTAGGGGTTGAACTCAGGGCCTTGCATTGGACTAGGATAAGAGCTCTCCACTGAGTTACACCCTAGCTCTCTTATTTGCCTCTTAAAAAGAGGAAATCCATYAATAAATTTAAGTCCAGGAAATGGGACAGGAATAGTCTGAGTATTCTGGGGATTCTCCTATCTTTGCCCAGTGACCATTTTTTGGTTGCACCTGGCCACACGGATAGATCTTACCTTACCTTCCAATGCTAAGATCGTATATTTCTGAGATTCCATTATATTTCATTAGGCCAAATCTTTTTTTCCCCCATAAAAGAAAAATACCAAAATTTTGAGCATGGTATGACCCATAGATGGGAAAGAATGACACCTGAATGACATGTCACCTTCACATGACCTCTGCTCTGTAGAAGAAGCTGGAATCTGCAACATAAATGATGTGCAAAAGGAAGGAAGCATGAGATGATTCAGCAGGACAGAGCAGATGGAGTGAGAATCCACATTAAGCTGAGAATCATTAGCCAGCACCTAAACCAAGATGATGCTTTAAGGTAAAGGAAGACACAGTTACACATCAGGAAGAGTCAATGGGATGGAGCCCAATTCTTCAAAAAAGGAAACAATGTTTTCCATCCAACTCAGAAAACATAATTGCCTAATTTAACAATTGCTTACTTATTTGGACAAACAATAACAAGGAAAGAGTTCCTCCAGGAGGGTATAAAAGGCAACCCTGGGCAAGGAGATCTCCAGATTCAAGAAATACACTCATTTGAAAACCCACCCAGAACCTCCAACCTCTAACACCATGGTTAACTCTTGTTCTGGCTCTGTCTGCTCTGATCAGGGTGGTGACCAAGGCCTCTGCCAGGAGACTTGTTGTCAGCCCAGCTGCTGCCAGACCAGCTGCTGCCACCCTACCTGCTGCCAGACCACCTGCTGCAGGACCACTTGCTGCCGCCCCAGCTGCTGTGGGTTCAGCTGCTGCAGGCCCAGCTGCTGTAGGCCCAGCTGCTGCAGGCCCAGCTGCTGTAGGCCCAGCTGCTGCAGGCCCTGCTGTGTGTCCAGCTGTTGCCGCCCCAGCTGCTGTGGGTCCAGCTGCTGCCGCCCTACCTGCTGCCAGACCACCTGCTGTAGGACCACTTGCTGCCGCCCCAGCTGCTGTGGGTCCAGCTGCTGCAGGCCCAGCTGCTGTAGGCCCAGCTGCTGTGTGTCCAGCTGCTGCAGGCCCTGCTGTGTGTCCAGCTGTTGCCGCCCCACCTGCTGCCAGACCACCTGCTGTAGAACTACCTGCTGCCGCCCCAGCTGCTGTGGCAGTTCTTGTTATTGAATGTCCTGATCTGGATCTGTGAAGCTTCTTGCCTTCATTATCTCAGTCCAGGCAGAAGGCATCTATTCAACAGAACATGTGGACCTCCTGAAGTCATGAACTTAGATCCATGGAGTGCTTTGGAAAACCCTCATCTATATGCTATTACGTATTCATTTTGTAGAAATATTCCATTAGTAGTAATTTAGAATTTGCTGTCAAATTCTGCATCAATTTGTTCTAGAATTCCTAATTCTGATTCAAAATATAAAACTCCTCAAATGTTCTACTTTTAGATTTTTTGTTTTTGGTTTTCAGTATTTTTCTGTGGGATCCATTTTCATGTCAAATTGATGTTTTTCAATAAAATTTTTTAGCATTCAGAAGCACTGAAAGTGTTCATATGTCATTATTTTTGATTAATGAAATGGTCTGTTCATATTTCTGTCTCCTTTTCTTCATGTCACAAGAGTACATGTTATCAGAGGTACTTAAAATTGAAAAATTAAGTTGGCATTCACCCATGAGATTTTTATCCAAACCAGAATTCAGTCTGACAGTAGAAATGATAACATACAGTTTTTAAAGAGGAATATTTTATGCTAACACATGTAACATAAGAGGTATGAATTGAAATTGATGCCCCCTCCAAATCCCCCCACCAAATTATTCTGAATTGATTTAAACTGATTTAGAGAGAGGAAGCTCAGCATAGACTATAGCTCAAGGATAAGAATTAATTGGAGCAATGATGTTAAATGCTGACCTCACCATTCTTCTTTAGGTGGTAATTAGTGTTACAGGTGTCAAAGTAGATCAGACATTTATTTTAAGTTGGCACATTGGTTGCTAACATTATTGCTATGCTTAACCCTTCTTTTTCTAATAGGGGCTGGAAATTGACTGGAATACCACAAGTTCACAGGGTAGAGATCCGGGTTCTGAGCAACACTCACAACTCAGCCAAATAACAGAGAACATTACTTCACACACATAAACTGCCCTTTCTTGAGCTCCAATCATACTTCAATACATCAAATTGGAGAGACAAAAATCCAGGCCAACTAAGTGGAACAACTAGAGGACATCTTCTGTACATATGCTCATGTAGCATAACCCCGAGAAGTCCCTAGAAGAAAACCAACTACACACCAAATGACACATACATAAAAGGGGAAGAGGAATCCATTAAACAAACGCACAAATTCAAAACATCTGATATCGTAATGAAACAGGCAAATAAATCCCCACCCACCAAATTCACAATTACCCAATTAAAAAACTCACAGATACGTATGTGGATGAAATTCCAGAGAAAGAGTATAAAAAAACCTGATTATTAAAATGTTTAATGAACTAAAAGAAGAGCTAAATAATGAATTTAGGGAGCAAATACAGGAGGTGAAAGATCACTTCGTGTAGAAATATATCCTGAAAAAAAGAAAACAATCAGAAATCCCAAAAAACGAAAGTCACATTGAATTAAATTAAAAATTCACTTGAAAGTATCATCAATAGACTAAATAGAAAACAAAAATTCATGCTTGGAAGACAGAATTTCAGGCCTTGGGTTCCAAGATGGYGGGCCAGAGGGAGGCAGCACTCTGTGTTGCTCTGTGACCTGGGGTTCAAGTTGTGAGAATATGGCTTCTCTGTGAGCGATATTCCTGCCCCCTGTGCAGGAAGCACCATGCCAGTCCAGGACTCCAGCCCTCAGCATCAGAGTAGGTCTCCCAACTACTTGCCTATGCAGGACTATGGGATACCCAAGTGAGACCATCAGAGGGGGCAGCAGCACCTGCAAAGAACTTTCGGCCACCCACTSGAGCAGAAATCATGGATGTTGCTCTTACGGAGGACACCTGGAAGCTTCCCACAAGTAGGAGCTCCAGCCACCACCCTGTGTGGACCCCCATCTACCAACGTGGGGAATCCCTTGGTTGCCGCCATCTTGGGACTCTGCAGCAGCAGACTTATCCCCGATGCACCATATCCTGCCTGCACCCAGGAACTTCACACAGGCTCTGAAGTCAGCTGACACTGCAAGCCACAGAGCTTGCCACTGAACTCAGCGTCCAATACCATCACCAGCCTCCCCACCCAACTGGATACCCCATCACTGAAAGCAGGAGACTCCATCTTGGGTAACCTTCATTACCATCTTCCAGGTACCCAGTTTTTAACTCCCCACTCT